AAAAACGATTTTTTTTTTGCTGTCACCAATTTTCTCTAACCCATAACAAAGATTGACGATTCTTTGTTGCCATTTTTGGTTGATAGTATTTCAAATTTGAATAAATTAAATCTTTTATTGTAATAAATTTGTTAATACAACGACGCATTTGACAATTACGATTTCAACATATGACAAATTAATGACAATAATAATGATAGAAAAAAAAGGAGATCAATATCGTCTATTCAACCAATTTCGTTGAAAATATATTTGTAAAATGATTTTTAATCCTCAGGACTGTCACATTTTCATCGGAAGGTTCCTGGTATAATTCCGAGATTATAAGAATTAGCGCTTTTGTTAGCACATATATATATATATATATAATGGCGTTTTTTGTTAAAGCACATAGATAAACTACTGTAGCTTACATTGTACAGTATATCCAAACAAGTATAGTAATAAATTAGTAATAAAGGAAGATTAATAATTTCATGACAATTTACGCTGTTAAAGTGTAACAGGTAAGGACATTTACCATCAACTGATAAAACTAATAAGATGTTCAAAATTGATTTTAAATGTGCAGTTGGAAGGTTTTTGTTTTATTTTCATTTTTTATTTTTTTTTTAGAGAGACCAGTTTCTTGTGACACATTTCAATCGTATTGATCATGAACTTTTGTAAATAACAAGGTAGAGATACAATAGTGTAATTAATTATCATCTTTTTTACCTGTTTAAAGGGAACATTTTTAGCAGGTAGATAATTATTAGTTTTATATTTTTTTTCATTCATTCCTGTTTATAGCATGAATTTCTATTATTTGAAAAAAAAACGAAAATTTTTTATCCTCAAAGAAAAAATAATAATAATAATAATAATTACTTAAGAATGTTAATTAATCTTAATTTTTTACCATAATTAATTTTAATTTTATTCCATTTAATGATATTATTTGTGATATTTATGCAAATTAATTTATAAAATGTGTAAAATTCTTTTGAATTCATCATTAATTCATTGCAAAATTTTAATTATTTGAAAAAAAAAGTGTTAGTAATTAGTAAAAGTGTCATCATATATGCATGTCCAATGTCACACATATCTTTGCATAACAATTTAACAACAACAACAACAACAACAACAACAACAATTCCTTATCATTTTCATAAATAAATACCTATTTTTGATTGTAATCTGATAAGATGACAATTTTCGTTTATTTATTTAGTATTAAAATGTGAAATATTTGAATGTTATCAGAGGATGTCACCTTCAAATGATTGTCGCTAATCAATGAAAATGTCAAAATACAACAATTGCAGGTGGCGAAAAAAAAAAAATGTGAAGACATTATAGTGATATGAACAAAATCACGTGATATCATTGATATATGATATGCTTATTTTATCAATATCACCGGATAATTATGCAAATAATTGAATATTTTTAAACATAAAAATGATATTTGAAATACATATTGAAAATTTTCATTTAATTTCAATAAAAATTATTTTAATTTTTGAAAGTTTTTTTTCAAAAAATTTCCATTCCTAATATTTCGTTGTCCTAAATGAAATGTTTTGTTTGTTCGATCAATCGATAATTATCTTTTTTAATTTAATCATGAATGATCAATATTAGATTAGCCTTGTTAGCCATATAATTATAAATTTAATAGCTAGTCTTATCAATGTTAATAGCTACTCTTATCAATCATATATGATTATAAGGGTATAAAGGTTAACCTTATTAGCCATATTCATCATGTAACCATCATGCTAACTAACCTTGTTAGCCACGTTATCATAAATGTAATTGGCTAACATTAGCAGCAATATGATCATAGATTCAATAATCATTAATTGCATTTGACATATATTAGCAGCAAAATAGGAAAATGTCCAGTAACTCTAATTTGCATACATCTATTTGCTAAAGTTAAAAAAGCTTTTGACAAATACGAAACTTGACA